GTAGAATGAATTTAAAGATGATATATCAGATTGCCATTAGTTGGAAGTAGCATTCAAGAGAACAAAGGACGAGTTGCCTTGGGTAAATCTGCTGCCCAAAGCCTCTAGATACTGAAAAAGCAAGAATATTACCTTGAGAACTAAGGTGCACCTGATACAAGCTATAATATTTTCAGTTGCCTCATGCATGAGAAAATTGGACATGGAGCAAGGAAGAACAAAGAAGAATCAATGCATTTGAATTGTGGTTTTGTTGAAAATGCCATGCACTGCCAAACAAATAAACAAATGTGTTGTGTCTTGAAAGAAATATGATCAGAGTGCACCTTTAGAGCCAAGGACACCGAGACTTTGTCCTGTGCATACTTTGGACATGTCAGGAGAGACCAGTCCTTGGAGAAGGACATCATGCTTGGTAAACGAGTGGCAGAGGAAGGCCCTCAATGAGATGGATGGACACAGTGGCTGTAACCATGAGCTCAGGCATAGAAACAATTGTGAGGATGGTGCAGGACCAGGCAGTGTTTTGTTCTGTTGTGTGTGACTCATTGGCACCTAACAACAAGAACAAGTAGGAATTGCCTTACAAAGGTAAAGCAAAAGTTTTGCTGTAAAATCATAAACCTTGATTAAACAAAAATATCAAATTGTGAGGCTGTAGTTTCTTGGCATGTCTTCCATCTAGGTCTATACCAGCGGTTCTCAACCTGTAGGTCGTGACCCTTTTGGAGGTCAAATGACCTTTTCACAGGGGTCGCACAATTCATAACAGTAGCAAAATTATAGTTATGAAGTAACAATGAAAATAATTTTATGGTTGGGGGGTCACCACAACATGAGGAACTGTATTAAAGGGTTGCAGCATTAGGAAGATTGAGAACCACTGGTCTATACACTTCTGAAGACAGTGTTTTCATCTCTAGCTCTTCCTTAAAGACTGCACTCTCAGGTTTATACCTTTTCAGAACAGTAAGTTATCCTCCAAGGACTTAAATCCTTGTACATGTTCTTTGAGTTTTGAGAGCTTAAAGAAGTGTGAACAGGCAAGACTGGGGCTGTAAGAGTAGTAGATGGTGTTAGGCTTCTGAAGACAACTCTGGAAGCAACCCCTTTCTGCCCTTGAAGAATGATCAGATTCATTGTCATGAAAGGAACAAAATTACTCTGATTTCCTGGCCTTTTCCTCACTAATGCAGTATCTAATTTTCTTAAATTATCTCCATAATAAGCCCCTGTGATCATTCTTTGAAGAAAATCTATGAAGATTATCCCTTTGGGATTTCAAGAAACCATCCTTAACCTTCTGACATGACCTTGAATTTAACTGACCCAGCAGATCCCCTTGGAAGCCGCTATGTTGATTGGAACTTTTTTCTCAAGGTGCCGTAATGAGACTAAAGGAACCCTGGGGGTGGGTTGTGCCTTGGGTACAAAGTCAACAATTTGAAACCACTAGCCTCTTTGAAGGAGAAAGACAAGGCTTTCAATCCACAGGGACAGTTCTACTGTGTCTTAACAGGGTCACTATGGGTTAGAATTGACTTGATGAAAGAGTCTGGAGAGTTTGAGAGTAACAAAACTAATAGTCTTACTGAGAGAACTTGTCTGCAGGCATCCACTTTGAACATGTTTCTAATAAACCTGTGTGTGTGTGTGAACTAAGGAGCCCTGGTGGCGTAGATTAGGTGTTGGGTCACTAACTAACTGTAAGATCAGCAGTTCAAACCACCAGCCACACCATGGGAGAAACACAAGGCTGTCCTCTCCTGTCAATATATACAGTCTCAGACATCCTGTGTAGGGTCAGTATGAGTCAGAATTGACTCAAGGGCAGTGGGTTTTTGTTTTGAGCATACGAGTACTGGAACTGAAGTAGCAATGCTTTTTGACGGACTTTTGTGAAAGGAATTTTATTTGTATTTAGGTGTATTTTACTAAGCCATCATCATGCCAGCAGGGATTAAGTGCTGCTACTTGGCCTTTGTCAACCGGAGATCCTGGTATACCTTCAAAACCAAGTAGCTTATTTCAGTGGCCTATCTGTCACCTGCATTTCTTGACTACTTAGGACTGGCGCTACTATGAAGTGCATCTCTAATCAGTTTATGTCTCAACACTGGTGAAAGGGTCCTTGTGTCCACTTGGTGCTAGAGCATGGTTTAACATTAATATCTCCTGAAGGCTCTGGACCTGTCTGTATTGTACTGGCACATGTCTGGCCTCTAGTGGCCTTTCATGAAAGCCAATATTGAGGGCACATGTGCATTGGTTAATCACAATATCACGTCTAGCTGTTGGAGCTAGCACATTGTAACCAGTCTCTCTGATTCGTACTCTTAATAGATTGCATATAACTTTATATTATTTAAAATATTAACTTGTGTTTTGTATGCTGTTCACTTAATTATCCTTTTTTTTCCTGCCAAAGTGTTAGCTTTAAAATTTCTGACAAGTAAGATCTGTTTGTGGTTCATCTTTCAGTCTTTTGTGGTGCCTTGCACATATAGGTGCTCAGTAAATATTTATTCGAATGAAGAGATTGTGGGCTATTGCAGTAATAGTTCTTCAGTGGGTGGTGACGTATCATGTATTTCAAGACATTTACCACCACTGCTGTTAGCACTCTGGTTATGACAACAAATAACCTCCCCTGCCCCTGCAGTTCCAAAAGCCTTACCAGGAGACGGGGAGCATTAAAGCAACCACTGTGGGGACCCTCGGGGCTAGACTAAATCGGTAAGCCTTTCAAGGGTGAGTTGGGCAAACCTTAATGTGCTTGGCTACTAACTGAAAGGATGAAAGTTCAAGTTCACCCAGTGACTCCTTGAAAAGAAAGGTCTGCCGATCTACTTCTGAAAAGAAAAACCAACTATTGAAAGCCCAATGGAACACAGTTCTCACCTGACACTCCTATGAGGTGGCTTCAAAAAGTTCATGGAAAAATTCCACTGTCTTTTAATTGCATTTTTCCATGAACTTATTGTAGCCCTCCTCACAAACAGTCACAATGAGTCAACTCATTGACAACTGGTTAAGTACCTAAACTATGGTGGGATTTTAACGCCACAGACACTGAGATACAAACATCATTACAAGAAGAAAGTGTAATAGGAATGTATGCTTTGTCTTGACTGACAAAGTGGCGTGTCTGGAAAAGAGTTAGAAATAGATAATAGAGTAGGCTTTGAAGGATGTCGGTAGGAGCCTGTTGGAGGTGAGAAGGGAGGGGGAGATGCCCTTTCATTTTCTAATTTATCCTGCATCCTGCTGCCAAATTAATTTTCTGAAACATTGCCCTTCAACAGCCCACTTAATATTGTCTGCTAGTCTTTACACCTCTGCTCTTGGCATTTTATCTCACCCTAGCCATCCAACTTTATCTCTTAGTACTCCTTAAAATTAATTAGGTATGGTTAGCTGGCTAATCAGACCACTGCTTCCCCCTCCTTCATTGTTCATTTGCTCACTGCCTGCTTTTATTAATATCTTTCTTCCTTTATAAAATCCTTTATCATTCTGTCTCAACAATTTACTATTCTTAGAAGCCCTTTCTCCCTAATGAAACTGGCCCACATCATCCTGATAGCCCTTTGGTCTTCTAAGTATTTATGGTTTCTAACACAGTATTTAACACAACATTGTACATGGATTTCATGCCTCCTGTTCTTTTTGTCCCCAATATAATTTTTGTTCTGAAGAGCTATGTGAAGTTAAAATACATGCTTCACGGTGTTTTTCTAAGTGAAGTGACTTTTCTTTTTTTGATCATCTGATTTAGGCATTGCTTTTGGAGTGAAATTATTTGTTATGATATATGTTAAGTACCTTGAAAACTCAAAAGTCTATATTTGTATGTCACAATGTTTTAATATTGTAACACTGATTTAATATTGTAACATTGTGTCTTAACATACCATTTAATGTTGTTACAATGTGTTCCTGATATGTAATTTACCAATATATTTATGTTTCACTAACCAGATTTAATTCTCTTTCAAGAGCATGCTGTATATATTTATGTTTCCCCACAGTACCTAGTAGAGTGCCTTGCTCACAATAAGTACTTAGTTTTTTTAAAATATGTATTTGCTGGATTTTTATTCGCTTTCTCAATCTGCCTTCACTGTAACCATGTTCAGATCATTGTTTCATCTTGCTGAAATAGAGGGCACCAAGTGGGTACTTGTAGACTCCATAGGGTACTTGTCCCATTCTAGTCCTTGCTGCCAACCTTGAGCCACACTCTCCTACGCTAAGTCGTGTCATAATTATAGAGTGGTATTGACTCCTGGTTCTTCATCTGAAAAAGAGTAAATACTGTCACAATTTGATTCTTTGTTGTTTTCAAACTTTTTTCCTTGTCGGTAATCTTCCTATTAGTCTTGGTTCAAATGAAGTCTCATCCAAGCTCTAACTATGAATCAGATACATTCCTGTCTGGAGCCCCCACTTTTGGAGTCTCCTTCCTCCTCCCCTTCCTTCCACAGAGTACACAGCTTGAAAGTCACTGTACTCACCTCATTAGAGAAGGCTTTTTAAAAAACTGTTTTTTGTGATACTCCTCTAGGAATTTCATGTAAAAAGAAACATTTTTGTTTTTAAGTGCTTTTTAAGTACAAAGGAAAAAGATTCTGGAATGAATGCCTTCTTTCAGCAATAAAAGAGTTAATGTAGTAAGCAGTGGAGATGGAGGTACAGCCCGGGATAGTGCTTTCTGTCTCCTCATTTGTGGTTTAGAAAAGGGGTGGTGTTCTGCATTTGAAAGGACCTCAGTGAATGCTGTCAGTGTTTGTGGAGCTACTGGTCAGTGTGGGAAGGCAGAGCCAGCAAAGTCGTCTGGCTGCTTCAGGATAGGTGGATGAGAGTTTGCTCTGATTGAACGGAATGTTCCACTGTGTTTCATCTTTATTCATTGTCCTTTGTTCTTTATAATGTAATATTTTCGTATAAAGTGAATGTAGATATATATGTGAATGTGATTTTCTTTTAAATCTGTTTGTTGTGCACAGCAGGGCATATACTTCTCTTGTCTTGGTTGGATGCACAAATCTGTGTGCAGTGCCTTTTGCCCGTTGCCTAGACGATCACTCGGTTTCTCTGAGGATGTCTGGTTCTCGTAAAGAGTTTGATGTGAAGCAGATTTTGAAAATCAGATGGAGGTGGTTTGGCCATCAAGCATCATCTCCTAATTCTGCAGTTGACAGCCAGCAGGGAGAATTTTGGCATCGAGGACAGACTGGAGCAAACGGAGGGAGAAAGTTTTTAGATCCATGTAGCCTACAATTGCCTCTGGCTTCAATTGGTTACCAAAGGTCCAGCCAACTGGATTTTCAGAATTCACCTTCTTGGCCAATGGCATCCACCTCTGAAGTCCCTGCATTTGAGTTTACAGCAGAAGATTGTGGCGGTGCACACTGGCTGGATAGACCAGAAGTGGAGGATGGCACTAGTGAAGAAGAAAATGAATCTGATTCCAGTTCATGCAGGTTGATTATTTTATTACTGCTAGAAATGGGATTGGGGTGGGGCTGGGGTGGGGGTAGTTCTCTATATCTATAATGTTTTAAAATAATTTAGTACTTATTATCTTAAATCTCCATATTTACATACATATACCTACATGCACTTACAATAGCTCGGTCTAACATGTGGTACTTTTGCTAGGATTTTTTAAGCTGATGGAATATTAATCATATAAAATTATAAAGACAACAGATAGCATTCATTTTGAAATGTCATGTGTTCCAAATATGAATGGCTTTGCTTTGGTGATAACTTATAGTTTCAATTTTACACATCATTGCCTCGGGTTTATCTAATTCTTTTTACCTTCCATAGCCCTAGAAAAACTACAGAAGATAATTCTGTACACAATTTTGTGGCATTTTAATTTGCCAAAGATTACAAAGTTCACTCTTAATTTTCATGAATATTAAAGCTTTTACAGGAAGGTGCACATTGCAGTTGTCAGTATCTCTTTACTCTATTGTCATTATCAATAATATTTTTTCATGGTTTTTTCTTTGTCCTGTCTCTGTTGCAGCTCTCCCCACTAATACAGAGAATCCATTCAGTAGCATGTCTCTTTCTGAGATGAGAGCTACTAATCCATGTTGCTCTCATTATCACTGAGATTCGTGCTTTTTGGGCACTTGAAGGACATTCCTTGAGGAGTGTTTAAAGGAATGTAGAGTGACTAGATGTGAGCAGAGGGTGAAAGGAGCCCATCCAGAGGTCAAAAGAAGGGAAATGAGTTAGAGGAAACTGAAGAGGAAAAAAATTAATAATTTCACAATGACTTTATCTTTGTCCCTGGAATCTGGCTTTATCTTTGAAATGGGTTTTATTAGCTTAAACTACAACTCGTTATGTAATAAGTTAGAGCTTGACAGTCACCTTTCTGATTCATCTTCCCTTGAAAATAGGTATTTCTAAATATTAGAAGGTATGACTAATTTATCTAGCTCCATTACAGGATTCTTTTTCTTTTTAAATTTTACAGGTTTTGGTAACCCTTGTAGTTTGTAAGTTGTGTGTTATTGATTTAGGCATTATAGGGAATGGAGATAAAATGAGTCCATATAGCCCAGTATCTCTTACTTAGGAATATTTACCACCTTTTTTTCTAATCTTCCAAAAATGGAATTCTGAGCTATGGTTAAAATGATAACATCTGTAATCACTTATGTAAGGGAGGGAGGAGAATATCTTTACATAGATAGATTTAATTTAGACATTTTATTATATTTAACAAAATTTTTAAAAATTACTCATGATTTGGTATTATCTTAAGGGGATAGAAATAATTAATAATTTTAACTGGCAGATGAGTTGAGTTAATGAGGTTTTGTTGTTTTGTATGTTAATCATAGGCTACTTTTTGCATAAAGAGAATATATAGTAAAAGGTTTATGAATTACCCTTTTATGAGACACCAAAGGTTTCCATTTGAAAATCCACTTGAAATTGTATTTCCTTGAAAATACAATGTATTCAGAGTATTTTAACATTCTTTACTAAAATTAGCATACATTTATCAATAGAGGTTATGACAGTCTTAACATTGGACCGCCCACTTGGAGCGACTTCACACATGTGATGTAAAATTTATATATAAGTATGATGCTGGAGCTCTTGGTCACTATAATTTATCTCTTTACAAAAAAGGTAGCTTGCTTGGCTTATGATTAAAACCCAAGTCTCAATTCCCACTCCTAGCAAGCCTAGAAGACAGAGTGGAACAGCCCCATAGGTTTCTAAGGGCATCATCTTTACTGAAACCGACTGCCGCTGCCACATCTTTCTCCCCCGGAGCAGCTGGCAGGTTTCAACCACTGACCTTTCCGTTAGCGACTGAGCACTTACCCACTGTACTAATGAAATTAAATTAGTTTATTCTTTAGTATTGGCTAAAAGATCATCTTAGTGGGGTAGTTATTAAAACTTTTTTTCTTTTTAACGGACAATTCTGTGCATTCTTTAATAATATAAAATGGGCACTTATTCCAAACTCAAAACCAAGCACATTGTCATCAACTCAATTGTGACACATGGCCACCATATAGGACAGGGTAGAACTGCCCTTGTGGGTTTCAAAGCTGCCATTCTCTAAGAGAGTAGAAAGCCTTTCTCCTCAGAGAGGTTGTGGTTTTGAACTGCTGGCTAGCAGCATAACCATAGGCATAACTACTGTGCCTTTTATTTATAGGAAATATGTCAAGGCAACTTAATATTCTCAGTGGTTTGAAATTTGGTCTTAACATCTTAGGCAAAAAGAAAAAAGACATTCTGGATTTTAGAAATGTCACTTGTGTATACATTCTTTTTTATTTTTTTGAAATTAAATATATCTAATTCTCACATCTTCATTTAAATCTCTGGCTCCTACCGACTCTGTGATCTCTGCCAGAGGATACATTTATTTGCCCTCAGCATTTTGATTAAGTGAGCAGTCTCTTGGTAGTGCCCTCCTATTGTAAACAAATCAAAGCTTATCACTGTTAATGTCAAAAGAAGTTACATTGACATTTATCAAATTTTGTATATAACTTGGAAGCAGCTTGCTTTCTTACATATTTGAAAATAATAAAAAATATGTAAGCATGTTATTTAATATATTCTAGTTTGAGATCTTAAAATAGTAAATGCATAATGGAAAAATGATATCCTGAGATTTTAAAATTTTAAGCAAGCACAATATTTACATAGATCTCACAAAGTCTGAAATTTTATGTTGTAACAAAAGGGAAAGCCACCTGAGTGGTTTTGCATAGTCAGAATACTAACACCCATGATATATCTGGACAGTGTTCCATTGGATCTAAGAGATATTGTGTGTTGGTAAAACATGTTTCATCGGTTGTAGTCTAGCTAGAGAAGCACTAGTGGTGTAGTGGATTATGCATTGAGCTACTAACTGCAAGATCAGCAGTGCGAACCACCAGTCACCCAGCTAGAGCAGGGGCTGGCAAACTGTGGCTCTTTCAATATGCACATGTGGCTCTGAAATAAAATTGAAAATGAAAATAAAACTATCCTGGTCTCATTTTTTTTAATTGAAAGGATATCATTCACATAATGGTGGTTTCATTTGTTGGTAAAAATATATTTATGGCCCTTGAATAATTTTTAAATTGTTATGAAAGATAGGATCGACTCTACCATCTCAAAAGTTTGCCAACCCCCCTGAGCTAGAGGAAACACATGCTTGAGCCTTAAACTTCTGGTAATTTTTGCCCCTACCTACTCATATGAGAGACAAGTTTCTCATTTTTTAACTTTGATAACCTAGCCATCTTATCTCCATAGGAGTCATCCAAATCATTTTGGTATTCAAATGTAAAGTTTGTTTTATTATCCCATGAGGAATTTTACACCCTAAGTAACCAAGTAGTTATCTTTTGTATGAGTGCTGAGATACTAAAAACCTTAGCTCAGATGTATATGTTAGGGCCAGCTAGTTCCCAAGTTACAGTGGCCCACCCTGTGCTAATAGTGTAAATGCATACACGTCACCTGACTAACCAGCTTTGAAATTGGCATTCTTGACAAGTCAGAATCAAGTTGATGGCAGTGAGTTTAGTTTTTCATTTTTCATTTTAGGATTTCATTATTTCAAAATTTCTCTGTAAAGTTACATTTTATATGTTAAGTAAATAGTTAAGTAAATAATGTAAAGTATTTTATATAGTAGATTACTTCTAATTTCTTAATTTGCATAAAATGTTACTGAACTTTACAAATATTCAGAATATTTAATAGCTAATAATGACAATAGCAGAATAATAATAGCTAATATTTATTTGTGTATTTCTGTCAGGCATTATTCTAAGAACTAATTTAGTCTTCACACACACAAAATTGTGCTAAGTTGCTATTATCACTCAAATGTACAGGTGAGGTAAATGAGCCACAGAAAGGCTATGTAGTTGGCTCGATGTTAGAAGGTTTTAAAAAATGTATTATAAAAACTTTATTTCTTAGAACAGTTTAAAATTTTCAGAACAATTGAAAAGATATTAGAGTGCCTATATACCTCACATGAAGTTTCTCTGATTGTTAACATCTTACGTTAATATAGTATAGTTATTATAACTAATGAACCAGTATTGGGATAGTACAGTGAAGTAACATTCATGCTTTAGTTAGATTTCCTAAGTTTCTACCTGATGCTGTTTTCCTGCCCTCTGACCCCATCACCTTTCCTCAGTGTGTTTCCTTAGGTTCCCCTTTTACAGTTTCTCAAATGTTCCTCCTGTTGTTTGCTTATGACCTTGACAATTTGGGTACTCTTGGTCAGGTGTTTGAAGTTTTTCTCATGCTTAGCCTGGGCTTTTGAGAAGAAGATCAGAGAAGTAAAATGCTATTTTAATCACATCGGATCAAAGTCTATATCATCAACATGTCTTATCTCTGTTAGTTTAACTTTGACAATTGAAAATCACAATATTTTGGATCCAAACACTTAAGATCTAGATTCCATGATCTTATCACAACAGTCTACTACCTACATGTGAATAAGAAGTGCTGGGGTTGCTTTAGGGTCTTGGTGAGTTAGAATCCACTGGATGGCTGTGAGTTGAGATTCTTTTAATTGCAGGTTTCATCTTGAACTAATGGACAACAAGGAAGACCGTCAGTGACATGGATTGACAAATGGCTGCAGTGATAGGCTCAGTTGTGTGGCGAGCTCAGACCAGGCAGAGTTTCCTTCTCGTGCCGGGTCTGTTGCATATCGAGGAAGTTAGAATGGACTTGGTGGCACCTAACAACAACCATTATTTTTCAGAACCGCCCATTTAATTCTCTTAGCCTGGTTCTGGAGGCTGCCAAGCCTGGCTGGGGTATAGGTACAGTCTCCAGACCCATCCAGACTCTTAACAGACCCATCTTACTGATGACTGTGCCACTCCCTGGTAAACTCCAGAGAGCTTGACCTTTTCTATTCCTTGGGCAGTTGGTTTACCACCCCTCCATTCATCTTGAA